CACAGGACAGAGTGGAGTTTAGGGCTGTTGTACATAGGGTCACTATGAGTCGCAGGCGACTCGACGGCACATAACAACAACAACAACAACAATAACTACATGTAAGCAATGAGAAATCAAGTGGAAGAAAATAGTTTTCAAATAAATGCATATTGCTTAAACTGTAACGTAACTTTAATAGAATTAAAAGATGTCTGAATATTTAGATCTATATGCTATTTCCTATATATTTAAAATATTTTAAAATTGATCATAAAGATGAAGAGGGATGTAGAGAACTGTTTGGTGAGTTTGAGAATCTAAAACCTAAACTGAAATGGCTCCTTTACACATGTTTTTTCCTTATTGTGGAAGCCTTGGTAAGCTGCTAACCATTAAGAGGCTTCTGGTCTTTTTTCCATAAGGATTTACGTTCTCAAAAGGCTGTGAGGTCTTTCCACTTTGTCCTCCAGGGTTGCTATGAGCTGGAATGACTTGCAAGTGGACTTTTTTCATTTGCGGCCAGTTTTACAGATTTTATTCTAAACTCAGTTCTTCCAGGGTAGGGTACCTTTGATATACTGCATGTTTTGTCCTATTTGTTCCTTTTGTTATTGTTATCATAGTAGATAATCTTTATTAACATAATAAAAATTTCAGTCTTATTTATCCTTTGCATTCTTATCTATTAAAAAGTAACTGTGAGGACTGAGTGCTTTTCTTTTTGACCACATTTCTGACACACATTACTCACAGGGTATGTGACCTCATGTTTACAGGAGAGTTTATGTTTGACACGATGAGTATGGTCAACATCTTGAATCACCAGGAAATTGTGCAGGCTCTGGTTGATGGATTGATGGAGCTGTCAGAAGAAAATTCTGTAAGTGTTTCTTTGAAGAAAGCAAACAAAAAAGTTACAACTCAAATTTTGGCACTTGCCTTTATTGTTTTCTTCATTTGTTTATCCCTTTAAGTGAACAATTCCTCAAGAAATCACATTGGTTTTTATAAACAGCTACTCAATAGAGTTTGGCTCCAAGTAGTAGTATTCTTGTTGCTATCAGGTATTGCTGAGTTGGCTTGGACTCACAGGAACCTGTGAACCCATCTATGTCATCTCATAGTCACTATTATGGTTAGGCCCGTTGCTGCAGTCACAGTGTTAGTCCATCTCTTTGAGGGTCTTCCTCTCCTTCACTGACCCTTTACTTTATGTCTTTTCCAAGAGTGTGCCCCTCCTGAGAACATGTTTTAAATATGTGACAGGAATTGTCACTATTCTTGCCTCTGAAGAACACTCTGACTGCATGCACGTGCCCCAAGACAGGTTTCTTTGTTCTTTTGGCAGTCCATGAGAAATGCAACACTCTTCACCAACACCACAGTTCAGAGGCACAGAATCTTCAGTCTTCCTTATTCATTGTCCAACTTCCAGATGCATAGTTTGTTTTTGTTGTTATGTGCTGTCGAGTCATTTGCGACTCATAGCGACCCTATGTACAACAGCCCTAAACCCTGCTCTATCCTGTGCCAATAGCATGGCCTCTGACACACCCATCCCGATTACCCTAGTCACTGAATCAATCCACCTCACAGAGGGTCTTCCCCTCCTGCACTGTCCCTCTACCCTACCAAGCATGATGTCCCTCTCCAAGGACGGGTCCCTCCTTACAACATGTCCAAAGTATGTCAGACGAAGCCCCAGAATCCTTGCCTCCAAG